ATCTATTTGTCTATTGTTTCGGCTATACTACACTGTCTTGATTATTGCAGCTTTATAATAAGTGTTGAAGCTGGGTAGTGTCAGTCTTCCAAATTTGTTCTTCTCCTTTAATATTGTGTTGACTATTCTGAGTTTGGTTCCTCATTTTTAAGAATGTTATCTAAGTCAGTTTGTGTGCTGCTATAACAAGATACCTCAGGTTGGGTAATGTATAAAGAAGAAGATTATATTTCTCACAGTTTAGATGCCAGCAGGTTCAGTGTCTGGAGAAGTCTTGTTCTCCTCTTCCAAGATGGTGCCTTGTTACTGTGTCCTCACATGGCAGAAAGTAGAAGGGCAAAAGAACCTAGCTAGTTTCCTTAAGGCCACTTACAGGATACTGATTCCATGAGGGCAGAGTCCTCATGACTTAATCACCTTCTAAAGGCCCCGTCTCAACTGGGCTCGGTGGCTTAGCCTGTAATCCTGCTACTTTGGGAGGCTGAGGTGAGTGGATTGCCTGAGCCCGCGGGTTCGAGACCCGCCTGGGCAGAGAGACCTCATCTCTACAATAAATCAAAAAATTAGCCAGGCATGGTTGCATGCGCCTGTAGTTCTGGCTACTTGGAAGGCTGAGGTGGGAGGATCACCGGAGCCCAGCAGGTCAAGGCTGCGGTGGCCGGGAATGGCCACTGCACTCAATTCTGGGCGACAGAGTGAGACTCCAACTCAAAAAAAAAACACACAAAAAATAAATAAAATAAAGGCCCTGCCTCTTAGTACGATCACACTGGGTCTTAGGTTTCAACATATGAATTTGGAGGGCACACATACAGTCAAATAATAGCAAGTGTGAAGATGGATCCTGAGACCAAAAAGTTGGAAAACTGCTGTTATAGAGAAAGATAGACATACACACAGATGAGTGCAATAGAGTATTGCATTAGGAAGAGCATAGGTAGTAGTGCAGGGACAACTGAACTGAGTTTTTTGCATCCTGCTTCCTTGCTCTGGGGGCTGAATGGGCCTGTCGCTTTAAGGTACATCTCTGAGAGTCCAAATTTAGATGCTGTGTAACACAGACATGAGCCTGTTCTCAGGAGAGAACCTCAGAGGGGCACAGAACATGACATAAGGGCACAGAATGTGCAGCGTCAACCTCCCTTGGGACTACAGGACAGGTTAGGGCAGTTTGAAATGGGCTTTTCTGGTTCACTGAGAGAAAGATGGCTCTCGGTTAGGAGGGTTATGCATGTAAATCAAGTGCTCTGCCTCTTCATCTTCAGAGTTAAGACTTTTGTTAAGACCCAAGAGTCAGCTGTGTTAAAAAGGAGAACATTCATATCTTATACTGCACACCTACCACCTTTCAAGTTTTGCAGGAACCACATGCAGAGGGGAAAAGACAGGGCTTAGGTCTCAAATCCCAGGATTTCAAACAAACAAACAAAAATTCCCTGACCTACAGGGAAGAAAGCTGTATTTGCCAAAAGAGGCCAGTTGCTAACTCTGTTCCATTCACCCAGGCCACACCCCAGGCTCAAGCCACTCCAGAGTAAGAGAGGCCGACCAGAGTACACAGGAGAGAAAGGCCAGCAGGTGTCGTGAGCTGAGCTGAGTGTTGAATGGGGCCAGACATCTCGCCTAGCTCGTTAGGCCACGCAGCTGCTCCCAGGCCTCATTGACCCTATCAGCTGCAGGGAGTCATGAGGGATCTCAAGAGCAAGTGAGTCTGTAGGCAAAGCCTTCCTGTCCCCAGCCACATAGAAGGACATCTGCGGGGACCACCCCAGAAGACCTCTTTTAACCATTTACGAGACACTCTGAAAGCACCCCACCCCACACTATGCCCAAAAGTAACAATATTTCTGCTGGGAAGATAGGGCTGTTCTTAACCTGGGGACTACCAGTGGGTTCAGAAGGTCCTGAAATGCCCAGAAATTGGGTGTGTGAACTATTTTGTGGAGACGTGGTCTAGAGTTTCCATCACATTTCAAAGGTAGAGGGAAGTTAACCTTAAAAAGTTTAACCTTTAAAAGGTTAAGGCCAGGCATGGTGGCTCATGCCTGTAATCCCAGCGTTTTGGGAGGCCGAGGTAGGAGAGTTTCTTGAGACCAAGAGTTTTAGATCAGTCTGGGCAAAGCAGTAAGACCTTGTCACTACAAAAAATTTTTTTAAAAAAAATTGGCCAAGTGTGGTGGTGTTTGCCTGTGGTTCTAGCTACTCCAGAGCCTGAAGCAAGAGGATCACTTGAGCTCAGGAGGTTGAGGCTGCAGTGAGCTGTGATCATGCCACTGCACTCCAGCCTGGGTGACAGAGCAACACCCTGCCTCAAAAAACAATAATAATAATAATCGCTATATTAGAGGTCAACACTAGTGATAGCAGCACTTTTGAGGGTTTTTCATAAAGCCCATTCAAATAGCATTCATTCAACAGATAGCTACATTGTTCTCCATTCCAGACACAGACACAGTGCTGGAGCTGAGGATGCCATAATGAGCAAGACGAGATGCAATCTGTCTATCCTGGAGGGACACATAATCAAATAATCATTCACATGTGGTCTTATTGCAAACCAAGTGTTGCTCTGAAGGAAAGGAAGTTGGTTCTATGAGAGAGATAACTTAGTGGATCTTTAATTGTGTATATTTATTTTTGAATAGGTAATGCATTCCTGTTAAATAATTCAAAAGGTTTATATGGTGGAAAGTCTTCCCCCTGCCTCACCCACCCACCTGAGGTACTCTCTGAATGCCATATGTATGTTTTAGACACTGGTGAGTAGGCCTTCTGCTATTAGTCTAGGAGAAGAGAAAGCTTACCTGAGGATATGATGCTTGAAATAAAATGCGAAGCATAGATATGAGTTAACTAAGTGAGGAGGCCTGGAAGGGGATAGGGGAGCATACCTTAACAGCTTGTGCAGAGGCCCTGTGGCAGGCAAGAGCTTGTGTGGCTGGAGTTCAGAAAGCAAGGGAAGGGAGGTCTGGGAGGTTGCTGGGTGAACAGAGCCCTGGGAAGTCACTGAAAGAGGAGGGACGATAACCCTAAATTGTACTTGCATTTTGAAAATATCACCCTGGCTATGGTATGGTGATATTACTTAGTTCAGGTGAGAAATGATGTGGCTTGTTATTTGTCTTTGTTTTGAGCTGCTATAATAAAGCTCCATAGACTATGTAGTTTATAAACAACAGAAATTTCTCACAGTTCTGGAAACTGAAAGTTTGAGAACAGGGTGCCAGCATGGTTGGGTTTTGGTGAGTTTCCTTTTCTGGGTTGCAGACTTATTGCTGTATCATCACATGGCAGCAAGAAGGCAAGGAAGCTCTCTGGCCTCTTTAGAGGTGGGATCTCGCTATGCTACCCAGGCTGGACTCAAACTTCTGGGCTCAAGTGATCCTCCCTCAGCCTCCCAAGTAGCTGGAACTACAGGCACATGCCACCACACCCGGCTCTCTCTGTCCTCTTTTTAAGGGCACTGTGCAGTCCCATTCATGAGAGCTCTGCTCTCATGACCTCACTACCTGCTAAAGGCTCTATATCCTAATACTGTGTCACATTGGAGTTAAGATTTCAACATATGAATTTTATGGGGACATGAACATTCAGTCTATTATAGTGGTAGTGATAGATAAATAGATACTGCAAGAAATGTATTTGTGTGCAAGTTTCTTGCTTCTGAATAAAAGTTTTTTTTTGAGTTGGAGTCTTACTATGTCATCCAGGCTAGAGTGCAGTGGCATGCTCATGCCACCACAGCCTCGACCTGCTGGGCTCAGGTGATCCTTCTGCCTCAGCCTTCCAAGTAGCTGGAACTACAGGCATGCACCACCATGCCCAACTAATTTTTTAAAATTTATTGTAGAGATGAGGTCTTACCAAGTTGCCCAGGCTGGTGTGGAAGCCGTGGGCTCAGGCAATCCTCTCACCTCGGCCTCCCAAAGTGCTGGGTTTATAGGCGTGAACCACCATGCCCAGCCACTTCTGAAAAATTTTAACAAAACATTTCATTTCTCTCAATTGAGTGACGGAAAAATTTACAACAATTTACTTGTAATTAGTTAACACACCAGGCTATACTTTGTCCAAGCATATGACTAAACTGATAGGATAAATTAGCATCCTGTAAAAAGTTGATGAACAGTGAGTGGATTGCCTGAGCCTGCGGGTTTGAGACCCACCTGGGCAACTTGGTGAGACCT